GATGTGAGTACTTTATTTGGTTAGAGAATGAGTGGGCTGACAGTGTGGTGCAGTGCGGCAGAAATAGTGCCGTCAGTCACTTCAGTTCCAGCTGTGTCCAATTGACTCTATACTGCTATATAGGAACCATAGGGGCATCAGGTCCTTGTTTGGTTCTTTGCTCCTGAATCTGTAGCAGTTAATCTTTTACTGGAGTCCATTAAAGTTTGCAGCAATTCAGGTTACCTAACTGATTCTGAGCAGTAAGTTTGTTAGATCATCAAAACATAAGGCAAGAGTGTTTAAGATCTATCAAATCCTCCAAGTGAAGGGGGGCCTTTTCTCTCTTTCCTCTCTTCTCTAGCTTTCTGGGAAGAAAGGATGCAAATTGATCATCCTCACTATATCATGTAAATTGATCATCCTCACTGTATCATGAGAGAAGAAATGAAAAACATCAATAAGATTGATCGCCCTTATTTCATCTTATTCATCACTTTTTGATTCATTTTTAGATCTGGAGTTTATTACGTTTGACTAAGACTTACCTATTCATCTTCATTAATTGATTTAATCAAAAAGGTTTCGGCATCTTTTAGTCAAATAATTTTCAAATTATAAACTTATAATAAGCAGAGTAGATATAAAAGAAAGAAACTAAGAAAACCTGGCAGTTTGAAAAACGCCTAAAAGAGCTTTGCCGTTCATTTATACTTCTAGCCTGTTTGGCCAAGCTTTTTTTTGGGCCAAAAGTGCTTTTTTGGTCAAAAACACTTTTGGCCAAAAATTGAGGTGTTTGGCCAAACTTTTGGAAGGAAAAAAAGTGCTTTTGTGGAGAAGCAGAAGCAGTTTTGGAGAAGCAGAAAAAAGTAGCTTCTCTCCAAAAGCACTTTTCTGAGAAGCACTTTTGAGAAAAATATACTTAGAAGCAGTTTTCAAAAGCTTGGCCAAACACTAATTACTGCTCAAAAGTGTTTTGCTCAAAAGTGCTTTTCAAATGAATTAGCCAAATACAAACTACTTCTCACCAAAAGCACTTTTTTAAAAAGTACTTTTGAGAAAAGCACTTCTCAAAATAAGCTGATTTTAGAAGCTTGGCCAAACGGACTATTCATCTGCATAAACAAAACAAAAAAGAAAAAAACAACAACAACAACCAGAGTAGTCAATTTTTACGGTCCAACCATAAAATTATTATAAAGTAGAGTATGTAAAGAAAAGAAAGTAGACCTTGAAGTTGCAAAAAGTTTCAAAGTGATCCCTTCCGTTGAGAGAAGAAAATAATGCAGTTGTGTTGAATATTGGGTGCACTGAAATGGATACAATGAAGAATAGAAATCAGAATGGATTGACTTCTGAAATTCTCTGTTAATGTCAACCTTGTTAAATAGGGGAATGGGGAAAAAGCGTTTCAAAACATTTATAGAGCCCCTTTTAGAGATCGATGAGTCTTTTCTAAAACGTATAGAAAAAGTGTAACCGAAAAAATCTGTAAGGTCACGTCTTTTAGAAAAAAGAAATAATTACTTAACAATAAGGAGAAAAATGAGGAAAATGCCAAATAAATGAAAGAAGAGATAAATAGTAATCCTAGCTTAAGTGATGTGGCATGTCAGCATTTATTTGCCCACCTTCATATATATATATTATATATAGAGAGATTGCTTTTGACATTGATTTTTTCGTACAGAACTTGACAGTCTCATCTAGTATACAGAGGGGATCCCGGTTGGCGGAAAGTAACCACACGAACATCAGTTACTTAGCCTTACGTTGCTCTTCCAAAAAATATCAAGAGGCACCGCCTAACAGTTGCTCAATCTTAAACGGGGTTGATCTTGTGATTTCTTCTTTGCTTGATACTCATCAACTGTATACGCAATTATATTAAAGTACTATGAATTTCATCGTTAGCTGCATCCACCTGTTTACGTCGGAAAGTTTGCATTTTTTTTTTTAGGAAAAAATTGACACTGCATGTTAAATAATACAGTCCTCTCCTGCTTTAAATGAAAAAGACATGAGGTTGGGATGACAATGGGTCATTTGGTCTTGTTCAAGCATTGCCATAAATTACCAACAATTGTTTGATGAAAAGAATAAAGTGAATCAAGAGAAATTAAAATTAAAATATTTTCCGCAAAGTAGAGCCGTCAATATGGGCTTGGCCCGTTGAGCCAGCCCAGCCCAGCCCAGCCCGTGATTTAGCAGGGCTGGGCTAGGATATTTGGAGCCCATTTAAAATGAGGCTTTTAAGCCCGGTCCAAGTAAGCCCATGGCCTGTGAGGCTTGACTGAGGCTGGGCTGGACCAGCCCGTGGGCTTAATAAAAATATGTATTTAAAATATATAATATATAAAAAGTATATGACACAAAAAATAACAAGAAGAGTATCCCAAGCTTAAAGTTTATTAAGCTCATCATATTAAAAAACCAAAGTCTTAAAACATTAATTAGTTTTAAAAATTTAATTATTCTTAGTATTTAACTAATTAATATTGCATACGAATTGTAAATGTAGATAAAAGTAAGGATGTTAAAGCGAACCTTCTCACAAGCAGATTCAAATGTGTTTGATGAAGATGATGTGTGTTGGATATCCCATAAGCGTCATGGACGTTCTCTTGAATGTTTGTTTTGAGTTTTGACTTTTAGTGAATGAAATATAGTCTTGTCTTTTACCTTTTTAGTATTTATTGTGGTATATTGGAACAATATAAAAAGTTATTAAGTTCTGTGAAATTTTTTCAATAAGATTTTTTTAACTTTTAAATATTTATCTTTTTTTAGGTTAGAACTTAAAAAAATATATATAATTATATTTAAAAAATGATGGGTTGGCCCGTGGGGGCCCGGCCCACATAGGGTTGGGGTGGGCTGTCTATTATAAGGCCAATCAAAATGGTGGGCTAGCCCAGCCCAACCCGTCAATTGCTAAAGTTCACGTGGGCTGGGCTGGGCTAGCCCGGCCCCGGCCATTGACAGCTCTGCCGCAAAGCGTATTGAGCTGGAAAATTCATTACGTATGAATTGATTAGCAGTGTGATATCTATTGTATTACTGCACATTTGTGCCAAAGCAGGAAAACAATAAATTTACAACTTAATTAGAATTAAGAAAGTGCAAGAAATGTGGTTGGTGAATTGGCTGGATTGATGTCTCCTCTTCCAAAAATTTTGGTTACCAATAACCTTTGAATTTTGATAGGACCAGATGTACATTATCGTAAACTAGATGTATTTGCCCTCGTGCTTTCTGACTCAAACTATGAATATATATAATTAATTAAGTTCAAAATATATACTAGTAATTATATATGTATCGTTGCAAAAAGAAGTGAGTGCAGTAATATTTCGCACCTATTACTTTGAAATCTTAGATTGCACATGTTTGGTTGGAGTAACATCTTTCTCTTTCTCACACATGCAGATGCAAATCTAAAATTTAAATTTTATAAGTTCAAACTTGTAAAGTTATTAGCATTGAATCCATTATATTTTTAAGGTTATGGATTCATACTATTATTTGTTGGGTTTTTAGTGATTATGAGCCCATTTGGCTTAGCTGATTTAAAGTAGTTGATAAGCATTAGGTGCTGAAAAATACTTTTAAGTGCTGAAACTGATTTAAAAAATAAGCAGTTACGTGTTTGGATAAAAGTGCTGAAATTAATAATATGCAGGTGACGAACTGGGTATACGAAGAGCTCTGTTTTAAAAAGAAGTATTTTAGGGATAGAATAATAAATATTTTGGTCAAACTTAAAGTGCTTATAAGCTGCAATTTGATAAGCTGGGGGAGACCAACTTATGACTTTTGGCTTATTTTTGGCTTATAAGCACTTAACTTATAAGCATTCTTAATTTTACCAAACGCGTAGATAAGCTAAAAAGTGCTTATAAGCCAGTTTGACCAGCTTATAAGCTTAGCCAAACACCCTC